CCAACATCAAGAAGCCCTGATTCATAACCCCGGTAGTCACCAAACATGCTGTTTCATTCATCGTTCATCATGCCAAACCTCCGACAGTTTGAGTTCCTGCTTTCGCCCAAACGTGTCCCCAAAATGGTTTCCATTATTGACACAGACGTGACGCTTTAACCCTTGAGTACCTGCTTAAACGTGGCAGCAACTAGCTGACTCACCTCCCACGCAAGTCTTGATGCGAGGCCATTTTTGGTTGATAAGTTCCAGGGTTGGCCAACAAAAACACTTGCGACTCAAAACTACGTTTCAGGTAGTTGTGGTTACCTTAAACAGACAACACCATTTACTAACATTTGAGTAGCAGCCCTATTCATGTTTAGATATTCGTGGAGAGAGTTTGGGCCGAACCGAAGAGAGGTGCGCGATCCGACAGCACTGGCACAACCAAATGTGTTTTGACAAACAACTTGTGGGACCAGTTTACTCTGTGCTAATGAACGGGTTCGGATCCGATCCCCTTGCACTAGAGGACAACCATGTGTGTAGCATCCGAAAGGAACCCATTTAGTTTGTTAGAACCTATGCAAAGGGTCACCGAAACAAACCCATCAGGCAAATGCCTTGTCAGGTTCAACTCCTACAGAGCTCGGACGAGGCCGGGACTTGTGGTGCTTTCGACCATGGCGGGGGAGAGTGCTGGGTTTGTTTGCAAACCCCTTTGAAGGTGAAACAAACAGGATTCATAGCGCTTAAAGCGCTATGAATTGGTTCCTTGGTTCACAGGCTGCAACCCACTTTATGCTGCATGAGCAACAGCAAGTCTGAATCACACGGGTCGCAGGGCGGTCTTTGTTTAGGGCCCATCGCTCCAACGATGAACCCGGCCATATGCACAGAACAGGAACCCACCAGGAGGCAAGTTGGACTCCGTGCGTGTGATGCGAGCTTGTTCAACCCGCGCAAGCAACTCCGAACCACAGTGCCTTTCGAAGCCACGCGCTCCAACCACACCTCCAATGCTGGGGATGCAGCTAAGGCTTTCTAAGCAGGACCCGAGGTTGGGACGCCATGGAAATGACCTGGTCTTCACCGTCATCCTGCCAAAGCCAACGGCGCTCTGAAGAATGGAGAGTTGATCGCGCAGCATGTTTTTCCCCCACAGACACCTAGACTCAGACCGCAAAGCAGACATATGGCAGCGCAGTTGTAGAGTTGGGGCGTATCGACTCTTCGTTTATCCTCTATTTACTCTTTTGAGGGTTACTTGGTGAAACGATTAGATCATCATCAGCATCATCGTCCTCGTTGTCGTCATTGTCGTCATTGCCATCGTCATTGTTATTGTCGTTCCCGCCGCAGACGCCGTCATCATAATGTTGTCATCATAATCATGATGCTTATCATCATGTGTTTTAACATGTTTCATAATGATGTTCATCATCATGGCAGCTTTGAAAGTGCGTGTGTGTGTGTGTGTGGGGGTTTTCGGGATGGTGAAGTAGGGTTGGTATTGCCGCTTTTGCTGGCAGTTGGCAAAGACTGCATGCGTGACGTGATAATTATCATATTATGTAAACCTCTCCTTTTATGATTAGCCAAGTATTCAATAGTTAGCCTCTAAGTTACAAGCCGTCCGCAGGGTTAGCTCATCTTAGAGGAGCTATAGTGAGAAACGTGGATTCCTACCAGCTTGTACTTGGCCGCTTGTGGATGTATACATTCAGCCTTTGAAGCAACGCGATGCTGACTCTCCGGTGCCTTTTGTAGCCGGTGTGTGTGTGCGTGTGTGTGTGTGTATTCGTGTGTTGTATCGTGCTTGCACTTGCTCAGGATGTGCGGACGGAGGCGTTTCGCGTTCTTCAGAACGTGCGGCAGCAAGGCGACATCTTCTGAGGCCCTCTTGGACCCGGGTCTAAGTACCTTGCGATGTACTTGGACATTCTGGGGGTGCTTTATAGGGTTTGCTCTTGTCCCGATGTTTGGAAAGCCTACAAAACGTGAATAACACTTTTGCAGGAGTCCTTTTTGGTTTCCGCGCGGGTCAAATGCAAAGCCTCGAGTGGAGTGGTATGGAGCTCTCCAGCTGCAATGGCCCAAGGGCAGTGGTGCGCAACTGCTATCGTAAAGGGCATCAGTGGGTTCACAGACCCTTTGTAACCCTTAAAACTGGACAACCATCCATTTAGACCCTGCCCTTGGCCCTCTGATCTATTTCAGGTGCTGGAATCTGTGTACCATTCTATAGTCATTTATGTCTCACGGCCCAAAGATCATAGTGTCGCGTCAGCCTAAAACAGAGGAGAACACAGGAAGCCAGGAAGGCAGGAAGGCAACAATGATGCTTCTGTTGGGCCGTTCTTGGACGGATGACAATGAGGACGGTGATGCGATGGATGTGTGTCCAGAGGTGGTCTGTTTGTTAGCCTTGGCTTTGTTGACTAGTTGATGATTGCGTGCTTACATCGAGTTGGTTGTGTGTTGTTTGTTGTTGGAGCTTTTGTTTGGCTGTTTGTGTGTTTGTGTTTGTTTTGTGTGTTTGTTGGCTTTGTGTGTTTGTTGTTGTGGGTTTGTTAAGTGATTGTTTGCTTGTTTGTTGTTTGTGTGGGTTGATCGGTCTGGCTTGGCTTGGCTTTGTTTTGCTTGGCTGGTTTCGTTGAATTGGTTTGGTTTTATTTGGTTTGTCTGGTTGGATTGTTTGGTCTGGCCGATTTGGTTGGTTGGTTGCTTGCTTGGTTGGGTGCTGGATTGCTTGCTTGCTTGCTTGCTTGCTTGCTTGCTTGCTTGCTTGCTTGCTTGCCGGCTTGCTTGCTTGCTTGCTTGCTTGCTTGCTTGCTTGCTTGCTTGCTTGCTTGCTTGCTTGCTTGCTTGCTTGCTTGCTTGCTTGCCTGCTTGCTTGCTTGCTTGCTTGCTTGCTTGCTTTTGGTTCTTTCCTTGTTGGTTTATATGGTTTCTATGTTGGCTTGTGTGTTTTTGTGTACGCATATGTTTGTATACGTGCAAGTGTGCTTGTTGATGCTTGTCTCTGTGATGGTTTCTATGCATGCTTGTGAGTGTACAACCTCTTTGTTGTGTTTGCCGTTGTTGTATGCTTGTTGATATATGATATATGTATATATATACATATATATATATATATATACATATATATATATATGTATATCATATATATATATATATGTATGTGTCTGCAATGCAGTTTTCTGATGGCTTGGTTTGATGTTCATGATTCATGATGAATCATTAATCATGATGAATCATTAATGTATGTTATTATCACCTAATGCATGGGACACACGCAAACAGACACACACACACAGACACACACACACACACCACACACACACAGACACACACAGACACACACACACACACACACACCACACACACACACAGACACACACACACACACAGACACACACAGACACACACAGACACACACAGACACACACACACAGAGACACACACAGACACACACAGACACACACACAGACACACACAGACACACACAGACACACACACACAGACACACACACAGACACACACACACACACAGACACACACACACAGACACACACACACACAGACACACACACACACACAGACACACGCACAGACACACACACACACAGACACACACACACACAGACACACACACACACACACACACACCCGCGCCGGCACGTGCACGTGCACGTGCACTTGCACATGCACACACACGCACGCACGCACGCAGGCAGGCAGGCAGGCAGGCAGGCACGCAGGCACGCAGGCACGCAGGCTCGCAGGCTCGCAGGCACGCAGGCACGCAGGCAGGCACGCAGGCACGCAGGCACGCAGGCACGCAGGCACGCAGGCACGCACGCAGGCACGCAGGCACGCAGACACGCAGGCGCGCAGGCACGCAGGCACGCAGGCACGCAGGCTCGCAGGCACGCAGGCACGCACGCAGGCACGCAGACACGCAGGCAGGCACGCAGGCACGCAGGCACGCAGGCACGCAGGCACGCAGGCAGGCAGGCAGGCACGCACGCACGCACGCGCGAGCGCGCGCGCACGCACGCGCGCACACATGCGCGCGCACACATGCGCGCGCACACACGCGCACACGCGCGCTCACACGCGCGCACGCGCGCGCACGCGCACGCGCATGCGCATGCGCACGCACTGGCACACGCACACGCACACGCACACGCACACGGACACGCACACCCACACGCACACGCACACGCACACACGCACTTTCGCAGTTCGTTTGGAAGAAATCTGACAGCAGGACGATGCCTTTCGATCCTTGCTGTGTGAATGGGACCATCTTGGGCGTTTGCTGCCTCTTCGCTTTGCCATGGCGTCAGAAGCACAATGCAGGAACAGGCCATGGAGGATGTGGGTGTGTTTTTTCAAATAACCAGTTGCGGGGATAGTTGAAGGGAAAACCAAAGGGAACCACCATCTTGCAGGTTTTCGTCTTTTGGGACACACCCACTACGTAGCCAACCTGAAAGGGATTCTTCACATCTGTGTTTTTCCCCAGTCACTTGCTGGTTGTGTCAAGTGAAGCAAGAGTTGCCCCCAAACTGGTCCCTTTTAGTTTCCTTCACTGACCAAAAGGAGGTCCCCTGCTTAACTTAGGACACGGACGGCCCAACTTTGCCCTATTGTCCAGTTGCACCCTTTGTTCGTTTTTGTGGGAGAGGTGAAAAACAAGGTATTGTGTGTGTGTTCCAGAACGCCTGGGCGCGTGGGGGATCACAGAGTAAGCCAACCATGGCAAAATCCAACACCAAGGTCGGCTTGTTAAATGCAAGACCAACATCTGCATGCTGAACACAATATCACCATTATCTTGCTGTGGGCAACATCCACTTTGTACCAGTTGGTTTACTTGTAGATTGTTTATCAACTTCATAGGGTTTTGTTGATCCCATCTGGTGCGAAATAGATTACGGATGTTGTCCATTTGTTCCTCATTTTGCCTTTCAAGCGTTCCGCCGGGCTCGGCGGTTTCTCTGCCCAAGGCCAAGAGGATCATCCGCTTGGACCAGGCGAGTCGCTAGTCACGAGTGAGAGTGCCGAGTCGAGGCTTCGGCAGGCCGGTGAGTTCGCTTTGCTGGCTATATGTCTTAGTTACCTGGAGTTTTGTTCTGTCCCTTTAAACATGGGGTCATGACCCCTTTATTCTGGCTAATGATCCCGTTGTTTGAGGGTCATGGAGCCTCCGGGTACAATCATGGAGAACCTCTGGACTGGGTGGTTTCCATTTCATGTTTCCCTGTTAACATGACAGTAATGGATTTTCCCCAAGTTTTGGACACCCCTCCGTAGACTTTTCGTGACCAATCCAGCGAGACGAAACCCTGAGTGAGCTTCTACCGACTTCCCAACGTTTGAGAGGGCGTTCTGTCGACCGGTCAACTCAAGTCGGGCTGAGAGTCTCATGACAGGATTGCTTCTCATTCAGAAGTATGGGTTGACGCATTCCAATTAATCAATGGAACCCAACAAAACGGTCCCAAAAGGAGATTCCTGCAGGAAAATGATTTGTGTGCATGCACGTTCATTCTGCAGGGGAGTATCCCACCAGCCCTGCTTTGTCAGAAACGCAGGTGACAGACGCGGCTCTTGTCGAGGAGATGCGACCCGTGAATCGGGCGGGCGCTTGTCTTCCCCAGTCCATGTTGGCTGGTCCAATCCGGGTGGGTCTTTTTGAGGGTACCCCCTTACGTGGTTTGAAAGGGAAAGGATGGGTCCACCAAAACGACACATCCATCCAGTTTCGGTTTGGGTCTGTTTGGATAAACTTTATGGTTGGGTTCTCAGTCTGGTAACGTTGAGGGTAATGTACCAATGTACCAACTTGTGATGTTGTTTTTGGCGAAGGTTCGCATCGGACCAATGGAGAAGCGCTACCAAACAGAGTTTGGCTTGCGCAAAGCTTGGGCTTGCGCCCACTTTTTCATGAAGATCCATTTTTTACGCAGGGGAAAGTACCCAGGAGGAACAGGGAGCTTCCTATTATGGTCATCGACAAGGCCATGTGTTCCATGGCAGTGGCTACAATTCCCAGAGCCCTTTGTGGCAGAGCCAGCCTTGCCGTTTGTGCAGCCTCTCAGGATGATTTGTGCGCAGCCCCAGCGAGTGCGGCCCAACGGGTGCGGATGTCAGACCTGTGCCCGGCTGTGCCTTCGGGTCCCAAATGAAGGCACCCCGCATGCTTTCAGCATGAAAACTGTGATTTGTTTCCCCGGACGGTTGTGCAAAGTTGAGCTGGTGTGTGGCCAACTGAATGCAAAGGCCACATGCCTCCCTTCAGTGTGCATCATGTTCAACGGGCTTAAACTACCTTCTCCTTGGGTAGGTGCCCTTGATTGGGCCTTGTTTGAACATCACAGGGGTTCAATTTCAAAGTCGTATCTACTTATGCATGTTCTTTAAAGGGAGAGTCAGCGGGAACCAACCATGTGTAGGTTCCAATTCTTGCTATTGAGGGCCCGCTACATTCTCTATGTGCCCTCGTTTCCGCAGAGCAGCGCACGCAAGTATGACGGAGGTGTATGTGCCCAATGGCGTTTCTTTCTGCAGTTTGTCTCGTTTTGACTTTTCATAAATGAGACGTTCGACAGGCTATTGGGGTCCATCACTGAGCCTAGAATAAGATATATATATATATGTATGTACTTGAAGGTGCAGTCAAGGCGTTAAGGCTAGGCTGTTCGACGCCTAGACTCCCCCGGCCCCTGGGGTTTCCTGACAGTTCGGACGTGCTTCCCACAGCGGGCCAAGTGACGAGCTCACCTTGGGGTCATGTGTAGTCCAAGCCTGTGCATTTAGGCAAGCCTCTATAGGCAAGCCAGGGAAAGCGCTCGAAACCTAGAGGTAAACCTAGAGGTAAGCAGCCCGATCACCAGTCGGCCAAACTTTGTAGGTTTCTGTGTGAACTCTTTGGGCTGATTTGAAGAACTTGTGCTGGCCGATAACTTCACAACTCAGCACCTGATTGTTTGAGGGTCGCTCCAGCAACGCTGACTTTGCGAGTCGCGGGCGATCTTGAGGGTACCCTGAAGGCACCCTTTGCTGACCTTGTAGGATTGTAATCATACCTGCGAGAAGATTATGCTGGTTCTTGTTTCAAGCAACTGTCCGGAAAGCTTCAAAGTTCGATGTCAACAGCGCTAATGCTCCGGGAATGCAGCATTTAAAACACTGAAATATTATGTTGTTCCCACTGTGCGGTGCGGGAGATAAATACGAGAACAAAATTCCTACCCGAGGTCATAACATATTCGGAGTACTATGCATCTTGCTGTGTTCTGAGTGCAGACATCAGCAGAAAAGTGCAAAGTAGAAGGATTGCTACCTGGACACTTTTCTACACTGGGTGATGATTGGCATTCCATAAGTCATCCCGGTGTTTGCTTCCGTCCATGTTTCAGATACTTGACAAACTAGGAATTTCTCTTTCAAACCTTTGCATAGTTCCATTGCTTACACTGAGAGTAACCCTGTACCTGCATTTGC